TCATTGTCGCTGCATCAGGAGTGAATGAATGTTGTGTCAAATACAGCAACAAGGACCGAGCTGTTATGAACCTGGTTGTTTGTTGTTAAAAAACCAACACTCGCTCACATAGACTTCCAGGTATGCCCATACATACATAGAAGGAAGGGGAGAGGATGGGAGAAGCACACCGCACAGGGAGAGATAAACATAGCGGAAGACTTGTCCATGCGATATGACAAAAAACACAAAGTGCAATTCGCTCCACAGAATCCTCACAACCAGTCACAAAGGAAAAGCCGAGTAGATCACATCCAGAAAACAATGAAGCAATGATAGTCCACACACAGTATACACACTATTTATTAAACTCGGAGTCTCGAAATGTCAGAATAACCCCAGAACTATGGTGCGCTGCTCAGAAATGAGCAGCGCTTCACTCTCCAACCCTGAGTAACCGCTATGAATACCCCTGAACCCCTGAAACATCAAAGCGCCACCCAAACACTGCATCCAGAGGGAAGCGCCACCCTAAAACAGACCTCAGAGGCCAAGCGCCTCTCAGAGGATGAAGAAGAAGACCAGCACCACAATATTTGATGATGATGAAGTGCGAGAAGACTTCCCGGGTGGAAGTCTGTAGCAGCGCCACCTCTCATGACAAAGATGATCTCTGAGGAAGAAAAGCTGCAGCACCACACACCCTGATACCCTACTCCTGAGGAGGGTTCAGCAGGGCACCAACTTCTCTCGCCTTCAGCAGACTCTAGATAGACCGAACCTCTGAACAGCCCAGCGTGCTGTCAGAGAACAATGCAGGTCCCAGCTATGGCGGACACTTCAAGGGTCCGGCTATGTCTGTCTCCTCCAACGTTGAAGCTGTCACCACTCCAGTTCATGCGTTGCGCAGTAGCGACGTACACGTTACCAACTGCCAAAAGCCCTGAACAGATGTCTACAATCTATTTCTAGAACTTCACTACCCTAGCCTAGACCTAGACCAGACTGACCGGACCAAAGGGTACCGTTTCAGTTTCGACCTCTCGGCCTCTCCCTACCCGGCTATAGGCTATAGGACCATCTATCAGCACATGCCTTTAGGGCCTGTCTGTCCTAGGGGTAGCCCGGGCCTGCCGTTCGCAGCTAGGGTAGCTGTAGGAAATTGTAGTTAGTAGAGCCTATATTTTTCATATTTACAGTTAGGCCCCTCACGAATTTTTCGTACAGGCAGATCTCTCGGTTAGCCCTCAGCCAAACAAAAAGCAAACTAACCTACCTATGTTACAGCCTCTGGTCGACGGGTCATAAGAGGCAGAAAACAGCAAGTCATTGCAGACCTACCCTTCCCCGGAGCGAGGACCTCCGAGCTAGGAGTGCAGGCGTGCAGATCACCGAGGGTATAATCCCTTCTTGGCTGCGTCATATTTTAGGACAATTCACTTTGCTGTCTTGAGAAGTTCTCTACGTGTAAACCAGCGATCCTCAATGTGAAGCTGGTACATTAACTTCACAAGATACTGTATATCTGAGCCAGTACCCATCTCATCCTCAATCTTTTCCAGTTCATATCCCTTCCTAGGGATCGGTGGGCCGTATTGAGGGGCTCGGTCTGCGAATGCATCAACTGAAGTGAACGGTAACAACTTAGATGCATGAAAGACCGGATAGGTTTGTAGATGTAGAGGGACATCAATAACGTACAATGGTCTGAAACGATCAGCTCCCACTGTATCTAAAACCTGCCATGGACCCATATAACATGACCACACTTTAGGTGAAATGTCCTCCTCCCGTGACAACTCAGAACTGAGTAGCCAAACCTAGTCACCTGTGCGAATAGTAGAGGGACGTTTGTGCCTGTTAGCCTGCCGAATCATAGCCTTTTGAGCTTTGAGCAGGTTGGCACATACGCGCTCAATGTCCACACGGTAACGCCTGGTGAACTCTGCAGTTCCAGGTGTCAGTGTAGGGGTAGCCTTATCGATAATGTCATCGAGAGGATGTCGTGGTTCACGGCCCCAGTGTAACCGGTAGGGTGTAAAGCCTGTAGAGGAGTGGACAAAAGTGTTATACACTAACTGTGCACGACCTAGATGAAGATCCAGTCCTGCTGATCTGGACTGATCACAGGACACAGCAGCAGAAACAAAATCTGGTTCATCACTGTCCATTGGCTTCAAGATGACGACCATATGTCATGTCTAAGTGAGAATGAAGGTAGTCCTTGGAGTAGGACTGCCACTCATGGCTGCAAAAACGGGGATCTCTATCACTGACAATGAGGTGGGTGGTCCATGATGAGTGACCCACCTATCAGCAAACGCCACCTGAGACCCACCTGGACGGCGGGGACTCTGGCTTCTCCTGGCAAAGGGATGAACTCCATATTTGGAGAACCTGTCCACACAGACCGTAACCTGACGCATACCACGAGAAGTGGTCCTACCCAAATCAGTAAAGTCGATAGACACTGATTGTGCAGGTGCCTCAGGGATGGGAAGTGGTTTGGGTAGGCAAAGAGGAGGTCTACGTACAACCTTATTCCTTTGGCACAACTCACAGGTGTCAACATACTGTAGCATGCCACTCCTCATCTCTTTCCAGAAGAACCTTTGCGACAAGGCCGCATATGATTTGAGGGCACCGAAATGACCACGAGCAGCATGACACTCTGACATCAGAAGTGTTCTCAACTTGCGGTTCTGAGGAATACACAAACGTTCCTCACCTCGACTGAATGTGTACAACAAACCTGAAACCAGAGTGTAACCTGGTTCAGAGGCAGGATCATCTTGTAGGTTCCTCACAATGGGCCCAAAAATCGGTTCTTGGAGCAGCAGATGGGCAATGGTCTGACGAGAATTCTCTCCAAAAGAGTGAGTGAAGGAGATCAAGAAGAGGGCGTCAGGCCTACGAGAAACGGCGTCTGCTACTCGATTGTAGCAACCCTTCTTATGCTTCAGTTCAAAGTCAAATAAGTCAATGAACTGAATGTAGTGAGCAAGCTTGTCATTCAACTCTCCCTGGGACTTCATCCACTGAAGGGTGGAGTGATCCGAGAAGATCTTGAAGTGCCTGCCCAAGAGGAAGTGCTTCCAATGCTTAAACACTGACACAAGAGCATAAAGCTCTTTCTCATAGGTAGAATCCTGCAACTTATTGGCTTTGATCTTCTTGCTCATGTACTCAACAGGCTGCAGACTATTCCCATTGTCCTGCTGAAGTACCGGTCCTACACCATACTGACAAGCATCAGTGGTTAGCACAAAAGGCAAGGTAGGATCAGGTAACTTCAGAACAGGTGCAGGAATCAAGGCCTCCTTGAGACATGTGAAAGCCTCCTGACATTCTGATGTCCAATTAAAGGAAGTGTCTTTCTTTGTGAGGTCAGTCAGGGTGTTGCAATGGCAAAGAAGTTCTTAATGAACTTCCTGTAGTACGATGCAAGACCCAAGAAAGACCGGACATCACGAACGTGTACAGGCTTCAGCCAGTCCTGAACAGCAGCAACTTTCGTTGCCTCAGGAGCCAACCCCTCTCCAGATATGACATGACCAAGATAGACAACAGAGCTAACTCCAAAAGAGGACTTCTCTCTGTTGATCGTGTACTGATTGTCATGCAAGGCCTGAAGGACCAGAGCCAGATGCTGCGCATGCTTCTGGACAAAATGATTGAATATCAGGATATCATCCAGATAGACAACTACAAACTTATCGAGGTAAGGCCTGAGTATGCGGTGCATCTCTATTTCAAAAGTGCCAGGGGCATTGCAAAGACCGAATGGCATAACCAAATACTCATAAGTACCATATCTGGTCTTGAAGGTTGTCTTATGGACATCACCTTCAGCCATCTCAATCTGGTGATAGCTAAATTTGAGATCGATCTTGCGCCATATCCAACAGATCATCGATCCGAGGAAGCGGCTCTGCAGACTTCCTCGTGATCTTGTTGAGACCCTTGTAATCCACACATATTCTGAACTCACCATTTCCCTTTGGAACAAAGAGAACTAGTGCCCCAAATTCAGATGTGCTGGGACGAATCCAGCCCTTGCTGGTCAGGGTCTCCAACTGTTTCATGAGCTCTTCAAGTTCAGCAGGGGACATCTTGTAGACTCGGCCCTTGGGAGGGACCGAGCCAGGAAGGAGCTCAATCTTATGTTTGGTCTGCCTATAGACAAGTCCAGTCGGCTCCTGCATAAGATCTGAGTAACGGCCCACCACTTGCTGAATTTGAGAGGGACAGGGAGCAGTCTCCACGTCTGTCTGTTTAACATAAGCTACAAACAGACGTGTGGTCAGTCTGGCGTGACAACTTCATAAAGCTGTGAGCACGCATACAATAACAGCTACTTGTCGGATGATACTCGTCAGCAATTATACAAGGGCGATATACCCCTCGTCGGTCAGGTAGCTCCACCCTAGGGATCCGCCAGTCGATCCTGGGGTTGGTGGCACCAAACCACTGTAGAGAGAACACAAGGTCAAGGGGTACATTGGGGAGCACATAAATTTAGGCGCTCCCTGATTTCTCCCTGCTTATTAAAGACCACTGGTAGGCCCTTGACAACAGTAGTGATCCTGACTGTGGATGAGTCATCAATGCGAACCTCAATGGGCTGTCACAACTTTACCAGTCTCTGGTCCAAGTGCAACCTGCTGACTGTCTTGGGAGACATAAAGTTACTAGTAGCCCCACAGTCTAAGAGCCCTCTGAAACTGGCTCCCAGGATAGAGGGTCGAAGCAGGATGAGATCTGACCTACGCTTCTTTCTTTCCTGCAAAGACAGGAAGAGATCAACAAGGCTCTGAGATTCATCCTCCTCCCACGTCTCATCCAGATCAGTGTCCTCATAAGTGAAGGACCCTGATGCCGCAACTCCACAAAATGAATCTGCGAGAGATGCTGTAGATTCAGCTTCATCAGAAGTAGAATCTGCACTGGTGGAAGGAGCTGCTACTTCCAGTCTTCCACCTCTCGCCACTCTAGTTTTTTGAACTAGAGCCTGAAGACCTGCGAGGCATGCCGGGGCAATCTTTGAGGAAGTTGTCCCCCTCGCATCTCAGGCAGACTCCCTCGTCCTTCCTCTTCCTCCAAACTCCCTCCTGGATCCTGAGTGAATGCCAGGGGAAGGTGGAAGGATCAAGGGGGTCAGCTGGCCAACGGACGTCATGTGGCAATGGAACTCTCTGGGCTGCAGGGGAAGAGCCACGTCCCTTTCCTTTCCCCTTACTGCTGGTTGATGCTTTCTGGCAAGGGCTTTGCCCTTAGTCAGTCCCATCAAAGCATCAGCCAGGGCAATAACAGCAGGATGTGCAGCAGATGATGAGGCAGTCCCAGATGGAGGGGTCCCACCCTGGGATGCTGCATCATCATCTGAACTAGAGGCTGCAGCAAACAAAGCACCCTTCCCCCTCCTGCGCCCCTTTGAGGAGGGTCCCTTTCCTTCAGAAGGTGCTTCCTGAACATGGAGTTTGGACTCCAGATCCAGGGCTGCTCTGCCAAAGCACCGCCAATCCTTATGACCCTGAGAGAATAATGCAAGCTGGTATTGATCAGGCACTGCCCTGAGGAAATGAATGAGCAAATCCTGCTCACTCATCTCCAACCCATGAGTCGACGTGAGACTGTCAAAGGTGGAGTACAACTTGGAGAAGGAGCCATCAAATTTCCTCTTGCCTAGGCGCAAAATTTTGTCTGCTGCTTTCCTGGCCTGCTCCTTGTCTGCAAACCGGTCTTGCAGTGCCTGCAAGAAACCAGTCACCCCCAGCCTCTGCGCCCAATCAGACATTTTCATCCCTTGCTTGCTGGAGGTAGAGGTGCACCATTTCAGTGCAGCCTTCTCCAGATGAGCAAGGATGGCACTCACCTTCACATCCTCATCACATCGGAACCCACTCAGGTAGGTTCTTTCTGCAGTGACCCAATCTGCAACATCCACCTTCGGGTCCTCACCAAAGAACATGGGTGGCGGAGTCAGCTTGGGCCGCTGCTGATCAAATGGAGCTGAGGGTTGTGAAGTGGCTGTTGACTTGGGTGTAGGAGGGGATGTGGGTCTAGATTGTGGGGTTTGTTGGGGTCCCGCTTGGGAGGCCCCAAGAGATGGAGGAACAGTCAAGGTAGATGGGATCTGCAAATGGGTGAAGAGGAGGTCCAACTTGGAAGAGATGTCATCCAATCTCTTGGAGTGACCTGACAACTGATCTTCTAGGCAGGTGATCCTCGCATCCCAGTTAGTAAAATAAGTCCGGTTGATATCATCCTGAAGAGGACAAACTCAACCATGTCCTTATTGTACCGACTGGCAGTTCCACTCACCCTGATATTTCCAGCGTCTTGCAATGAGAAGCTTCCTTCTGGCCTCTTTCTGATCTGCCTCCTCCCTGCGCCTCATCTCAACCTTCAAAGCCTCAACTATTGCCGCCTGTTTCCGGAGTTTTTCCTCCTCAGCCAGCAGTTCAGCCTCTAAAGGGGAGAGAGGAAGTTGAGGCTTCTCCCCAGAAGCTTCTCCCTTATCCGCACTAGACATTTTGAATTTCTCACAACACGGATAAATAAAATAAAAATTAAACAGGAGACAAAGATCGAGGTTAACAGGAATTGGGTTTTCTCTGCAGTACTTGCCCAATTGATGTCACCTGACTGAGGAAAGAAGTTGGTTAGAATGAGCAGGTAAGTGCTCGGTCTCTGCAGACCGCTATAGGGTCAGGGGTCAGCTTAGAGATGACTCAACAAATAACAGTTTCACAATTTTCCACTCACTGCCCTTACACATCAATTGAGTGCAATCACTACAAATCCTGTATTAATAACTTTCAGGATGCAGTCCTGGACTGGTTAGTAGTAAATAATAGTTAGACAGAGTGACTATTAGAGACTGTCAGGTATCTACTGATGACCAATATGCAACGATTTACTGGGTAGGTTATTTTTAGACTTACCCTACTGACTTCACCACTGGATGACCCTGTATGCCATACCCAGGGTATGGCGAATTACAGATTTCACTGTAGTTGACTCATAACATCAAATTTGACCATGCGATTCCAGACACAGACAGAATACTGAATTGCGATTTACCAAGGACTGACAAAACTGGATTATGACAGACAAAACCAAAGATATGATCAACCCTGGTCTGACCAAGCTCCAGCTATGGCATTGCATAATTCAAATTTCCACTATTACTTGCAGATTGACCCTGAACAATCCAATTCTCAGTGTAATTTGAATCGCATATTGTGAAGCAATCACAGATAGAATTTGAGTCGGAGAGAGGGTCAAACAGGGTTAGTAGAAGTCAAAGAAGATAGGCTGGGAAAGTTGGCTATGGTTGTCACGCAGTCCGAATTTCGATTTTCAACAGTCTACTGACTGACAGACGGAATTTCGCTATTCTAAAAATAGCCCCAGAATCGCCATACAGAGTTGGGTAAGGAACACACTTACTTCAGGGATGTCTCTGAAGGGGATGAGTGAAACCCTGGCTATGGCTCTCCTGAGACCCATCTCGCCAGTTTCTTCTCCTGAATATACCCAGTGTTCCCACATACAGAATCCTCTGAAACTGGGTGATCCTGTAGATCTACTGATGGCGCTTCAGCCTCAAATGACAAATTCAGTGAATCTGGACTCCCAGATGCCAATAACGGACTCACTTGTGCAGCGCTGCTCCAACCTGTACTGTGCTGCTTGGAAATTTGGGATCCTGACCCAATTCCAAAATCGCAACACCTTGGGGTCACTTCCTTGCCAATCACCAGTTCTCATATGAGCCGCCAGGCTAAAAATAGCCTCCTCAGAGCCTCCCAGGCCTCTAAGCATCACTCGCCACTCACTCTTGTGCAAGCCTGTGCAGGAGTGAATCACCCTCTGTCCAATACTTCTTGCCACACACTTACCACCACCACCCTTACTGTCGCGAACCCTGAAGATGACAAATCGCCATGAAGTTCAACTCCAGTGTCTCGCCAGATGATGATGATTGCTCCGACTCATCAGTTAGTCACTAAAGGCAGGTGGTTTTCGGTCTGAATATTCCCATGATCAAATCGTAGAGAACCTAACTTTTTGTGTAGATTGCATATCTATCATCTTTAGTCGAAGCCGGGTAATGGCCCCAGTATCTCAAAGTTTTCTGCATAACTTTCTCAATATGTTTTCGAATGGGACACTGGGCCCGGTTCCCAGCACGTGTTGCTCCCCACAAATAGATTGGAGCATGTCCAATTCAAAAAAAAACAAAAAACAAAAAAAAAAACTCAATTGACTGGATCCAATCGCTCCGATACCAGCTGTTATGAACCTGGTTGTTTGTTGTCAAAAGACCAACACTCGCTCACATAGACTTCCAGGTATGCCCAATGCCCATACATACACAAAAGAAGGGGAGAGGATGGGAGTATCACACCGCACAGGGAGAGATAAACACAGCGGAAGGCTTGTCCATGCGATATGACAGAAAACACTAAAAGTGCAATTCGCTCCACAGGATCCTCACAACCAGTCACAAAGGAAAAGCCGAGTGGATCACATCCAGAAAACAATGAAGCAATGATAGTCCACACACAGTATACACACTGTTTATTAAACTCGGAGTCTCGAAATGTCAGAATAACCCCAGAACTATGGTGCGCTGCTCATGAATGAGCAGTGCTTCACTCTCCAACCCTGAGTAACCGCTATGAATACCCTTGAACCCCTGAAACATCAAGCGCCACCCAGACACTGCCTCCAGAGGGAAGCGCCACCCTGAAACAGGCCTCAGAGGCCAAGCGCCTCTCAGAGGATGAAGAAGAAGACCAGCGCCACAGTATTTGACGATGATGAAGTGCCATAAGACTTTCCGGGTGGAAGTCTGTAGCAGCACCACCTCTCATGACAAAGATGATCTCTGAGGAAGAAAGCTGCAGCTATGGCTGCAGCGCCACACACCCTGATACCCTACTCCCGAGGAGGGTTCAGCAGGGCACCAACTTCTCTCGCCTTCAGCAGACTCCAGATAGCCCGGACCTCTGAACAGCCCCGCGTGCTGTCAGAGAACAGTGCAGGTCCCAGCTATGGCGGACACTTCGAGGGTCCGGCTATGTCTGTCTCCTCCAACGCTGAAAGCTGTCACCACTCCAGTTCATGCGTTGCGCAGCAGCGACGTACATGGTACCAACTGCCAAAAGCCCCGAACAGATGTCTACAATCTATTTCTAGAACTACACTACCCTAGCATAGACCTAGACCGAACTGACTGGACCGACCGGTACTGTTTCAGTTTCGGCCTCTCGGCCTCTCCCTACCCGGCTATAGGCTATAGGACCGTCTATCAGCACAGGCCTTTAGGGCCTGTCTGTCCTAGGGGTAGCCCGGGCCTGCCATTTGCAGTTAGGGTAGCTGTAGGAAATTCTAGTTAGTAGGGCCTATATTTTCCATGTTTACAGTTAGGTCCCTCACAAATTTTCCGTACAGGCAGGTCTCTCGGTTAGCCCTCAGCCAAACAAAAGACAAACCAACCTACCTATGTTACAGCCTCAGGTCGACGGGTCACAGGCGGCAGAAAACAGCAAGTCATTGCAGGGCGTTCTATTCAGGTGAAGATGGGAGTAAACATGGTGGATCATCCCTGTCTACACGGGGACAACGCACATCATCTACTATGCCTCTCAGCTTGTGCAAATGTCCCCCTTACTGCTGACATCATCAGAGGTAATCGTTCGCCTCTTACAGCTCCTACCACTACTTGGTTGAGCATGGCAGCAGCATCCAGGCCTTGCCCGGAGGACTTTCTGGCCCTGCCCACTTCCACCGCCAAGCCTACGTCACTCTCCGAAGTCCTCTCCACTTCATAACCCCATCCAAGGGCCTTCCAGGTGCAGCGCGAACCAAGGAGATGAAGATGCAGTCCACCATAGCCAGGGTAAGCCATCTTCTTCACCCTCTTCCTGCTACTCCTCCTGCCTTCCTGTTCTTCCTTCCTCCTCAACCTCTCTGCCATAGTCAGCCCTTCCTCCTTTCTCACCCTGGCGCCTTGCACCATAGCCAAGGTGGGAGGGAGGCACCTCCTCCAACCACCACTGTCCAGCACCACACTAGCTAAACTAGTGTACCGGCAGCCTGACGGCTTTGCATCCAAGAATGAGGTGGAGCTCGAGGCTGTCCCTCCTCGTGTACTTTGGCCGCTCCCTCTTCACCCCAGGACTTTCAAGCAGCGGTGGCCTCCGGGCTCAGGATTCAGGCTCCTCCGGGCTCAGGATTCAGGCTCCTCCGGGCCGGTACCTTCCTCTGACCTATTCCTTTTTTTATTATTATTATTATTTTTTGGTTGAAATTTATTCAACAACCTGAGTGAATGCTCTAATTCCTAGGCTGGCTGGTCCTCTAAACACTACCCCACCCCCCCCATACCCAAGGTCCTACCTTTTTGTCCTTTTCTGCCTACCGCCTGCTGCTGCTTGATTGGCTACGACGGACCTCCTTCCCACTAATCCACCCGCGGCACCATAACACAACTGCCCACAGGGTTAGTACCGGGCCCGGGCCTGGAGGCCGACACTCGCACACCCATATAGAACTCAGTTGGTCACACAAACACACGGCACAAAGATTCAGGCAGCAGGAAACCGGAGAGCACACAGAACAGCGGCAAAAGATGAGGAAAGCACAGTTTTGAAGTTTTCACAGTCTGCAATTTTCCAGGTTATTAACTTATTAGTAACTTGTTACAATTTTACCAATTTTCTTATTTTGTAATGTTGCATTTGTTTTTTTTTACGATTCTGAGAATCTGAGCAGTATTCAGAAAACAACAGCATAGCTTATCTTATAACTGTCCACTGTTGTCCACTGTTGTGTTGTGGTAGCGGATGCAATTTCATCTGGGTGAAGAGCTGGAGACGAAGGAAGAGAGTACATCGACAAACTTCGACTTCCGGGAGAGACGACGGACTTCACACTGCGACTGGTATCGCCCACTGTTGCTGACAAAGGGCTTTAAGCTGTGACCGGGGTTGTCCAATGTTGCCTATGCTCCTCATTCGGACGTGGTGTTGCTCAGTGACAGGCATTGATTGTGTTCATGAACAACACAACCTAGATTGTGTGTTGAGATATAGGAATCGTAGTTTTGGATTAGGCATTTCGTGGATCGATAATCTGTAGGTTTTCTGCGTGGGTAATTAGTCCTGCATGTGGTAGGTAGCTTGCGGCACCATAATCGGTAGATTTTGCCGCGTGGGTAATTAGTGTAGTGTTGCTCCCCTGTTACGGTTGTTGGATGTTAACATCTTGCTTTTTGTAATGCTTAACTATGAGGTATCCAGGATGTAGAGAACGAATTTGGTGAGTTTTATTGGGAACACCGACTCCAGGTACTTAGGGTATACACTGCGGTTTGGAATGACTTAGATTAGGGTTACTTAATAATAATAGCGGTTTGCTGCTGGTAACTCCAGGTGTTTAGTGCATAAAAAACTACAGTTTTTGTGAATGATTTGTTAATTTGCATTTTGCTCGTGGGGAACACCGGCTCAAGGTACTTAGGGTATAAACTACGGTTTGGATTTACTTAGATTAGGGTTACTTAATAATGGTGGTATGCTGCTGGCGACTCCAGGTGTCTGGTGCATAGACTACGGATTTTTTGAATGGTTGGCTTATTTTGGATTTCGCTCGTGGGTAAGATTAACGAGATTATTAGGCCTTTTGGATTTCTAATTTCTAATTTGGTTGGATGCTTGTTAAGTTGTTAGTTATATTGGATTTATTTCGAATAGGGTTGCTCAACTATAGTGGTTTGTTGTTGGTGTAGATTATGGTTGGAAAGTTTTGTTTGGGCTGTGACCGAGATAGGTTGTTGTGACTTTGTTGTGGGCTGCGGCGGGGATAGGTCTGGCCGGGAGTGCCTCGCTTAGCCTATTTGGCCGCACCAATGATGTAAGGGACGCCGGGCCCGGTTCCGGTTATATGAAAAAAAAAAAAAAAAAAAAACGGTTTAAAAACCTTGTCCACTGTTTCTTTTTGTTTTTTTTTGTCCCTCCAGTTCAACATTAAATACAGTCAAAAATTGAAAATTATATCGTCAACTACTAGGCTACCAGCCGGGCCCCCCGGTTCCCGGGCGGCCAGCCCGTGCAAGGACCAGGGGGAAGGTCCCAGCAAAAAAAACAAAAACAAAGAACGAATTCCAAAAACTCCGAAAAAAAACTATGTTATGCAGAAAAATAAACTGAACAACATTTGCCTCAGGGTCACATCGAAATTCTTCACCAAATTTAGAATAAAAAATCAATTCTAAATTTTTTTTTTTTTTTTTTT